TATATATATATATATATATATATATATATATATATATATATATATATTTATGATAAATATTAATTTGTACAGGTGTACGAATTATAAAATCAGTCCAGCAATTTTCGAGAAAATTGCAACAAAGCCACGCACCTAAAGATCCTAGTCTAGTCGGATAAAAATTTTGAGAACCACTTTCCTTTCCTTTGCAAGGGAAAGACCGGATTCTAAAAAATGGATTTCATCCGATCTTATTCTCATGGGGGTAAGATCAGATCTCACCCTACAGGCGTCTATAGTAAGATTTAAACAATCTAATCTAACAATCACTTAACGTATAATATCGAAATGCTTAAAAACTTATAAAAAGAGGCCAATTACTCACCAAGATACCATAATAAAGTTGACAGGGGTAAGGCCGGATCTTCGAAAAACACGAAAAATCGTATATTTTATCCTCACAGTCCATAACACGCGCGCGAACAAGTGAACTGACTGACGCGGAATGAAGGTGGGGCTAACCAAAATGGCGTTCTATATTGTGTTGCCAGTTCTATGAAATAACGTAAGATTTGGTAATAATTTGATTTATACGATCTTACCCCGCATACGAACTTACCCCAACGCACCTTACCAATAAAAAGGTAATGGTAACTGTTTGGTGGTCTCAGCATGGTGTTATTCACTATAGTTTTCTCCGATCTGGTCAAGCAATAACGGCAGATGTCTATTGTGCCGAACTCCGAACCATGTTGACAAAACTAGCAGTAAAACAGCCCCGACTCATGAATCGATCTTCACCATTATTGCTCCACGACAACGCGAGACCTCACACAGCACGAGAAACCATTTTGACCCTTCAGGAACTGCAGTTAGAAACCATTCGTCATCCTCCGTATTCACCAGACCTTGCTCCAACGGACTACCATTTTTTTCGTGATTTGGACAATTATCTACGTGACAAGAAGTTTTCTTCCCAGGAGGCAGTACAAAATGCTTTCACACAGTTTGTGCAGTCTAGATCGTCGGAGTTCTATCGCAAAGGCATTAATAACCTTCCCATTAGATGGCAGCAATGTATAGATAATAATGGCAACTATTTTGATTAAATAAATTTGTTAAATATTTAAAAAATAAACAATTTAGATTTTCAGTACAAATCGGCAATTTCATACTTTAACCCCTATTATTAGGACTACTAGCAATCATATTTTTTTTGTGATTATTGGACTATTATTATTGGGAATTTAATTTTAAAAGAGCCTAATTCGTCAATCTGGCACCTGTTCTAGCCTTAGGGTATTTTTAAAAGCGGCCGATTAATATACGATGAAAATTTCTATAACATAGTATTTATAACATAAATGTACTACTTAATATCAAATGGACTGTCGCGCCGCTGAAGTGCGACCAAATTTTTAGTGATGTTTTATCTTTCGACTCAGTTACACGATGAATTCTGACGAACAAACGTTACTTTCACTTATTTTGTTAAAACTGAAGAAAAAAAATAAAAAGAATACCAGAACGTATTAATATAATAAACAACGTATAATCGACATTGTCGATCGACAACGGAATCATAGACGTTTTCGAGTTGTTTGGGAGTGCTTATTGAGAAAGTGGCATTAATTTCTAAATCCATGATGGTTGCCAAGAATTTTCAAAAATTTATTTTTGGTAATCCTTATGGGGAATGGCATTTATATCTGAATACATGATGGCTAACACGACTTTTCTAAATGCAAGATGGCGGGCACGATTTCTCAAATAATGGCAAGTTGGGTATCGTTTTTGAGATATTTGGGGGTGCTCATTACGAATATGGCACTCATTTCTAAATTTAAGATAGCGGGCACAATTTTTCTAATAATGGCAAGTTGGATATCGTTTTCGAGGTATTTGGGGGTGCTCATTACGAATATAGCACGTATTTGTAAATCTAAAAAAAGGATATCCATTTAGAAATGAGTGCCATATTCATAATGAGCATCCCCAAATAGCTCGAAAAGGATACCCATATTGCATTTTTTTGATAAATCTAGTCCGCCATCTTGGATTTACAAATAAGTGCTATATTCGTAATGTCCCTTAAATATGTCGAAAACGATACCCAATTTGCCATTATTTGAGAAATCGTGTCCGCCATCTTGCATTTAGAAATGCGTAAAGTCGTGTCAGCCATCATGTATTCAGATATAAATGCCATTTCCATAAGGATTACCAAAAATGAATTTTTGAAAATTCTTGGCAACCATCTTGGATTTACAAATTAATGCCACATTCTCAATGAGCACTTCCAAATAACTCGAAGCGTCTATAATTCTCGTTGTTGATCGACAATGTCGTAAGCACCTTTAGAATCCGTTCGTTACCTTTATTTTGTAAAAATAATCAAAATTAATATTACCATTAAATAGTTACCAACCTCGATTTATGACAAATATTTGTAAATAGTTTTCGCCTTGTTTACAGGTTTTTATGGGATTTTTACGTTTGTTTCACACCATTCTTCACACTTGTATTCAGAACCAAAAGGTATATAGTTAGGGATTATATATTATAGTATAGGCTGGAGAGTTCTTGTGGCACACTCTTCACGTATAGAATAAAAATTACTCACAACCTGTTGTTTTTTTCATTTGTAGTTTTAGTTTCAAAATTGTCAATTTTAGACATAAACTTTCCCATGCCTTTTTTTCCAGTCGATTAGAATATCCCATATTGCAAGGTGTTGTTCTGCATTCATTATAAATTCTTGAACTGGATTTTCGTCCATCATAGTTAATTTGAAAAATTAACATGTACACCTCACTAACCGTAATGAAACCGAGCGTGGCTGCAGCGCGTCTGTCGCGCAGCAGCCGCGCGGTTGCAGCGGTTCTAGAAATTGTATGAAGTGACAATCGCGCGGTCGTCGCGCGGCCGCCGCGCGGCTGCAGCGCGGCTGCAGCGCGGCTAACAGCGGCTAATTTGAACGCGCCCTTATACTTCAAAATTAACATTTGTAACAAATTATTGTTCTTGCAGCAGATTATTTTCCAAATTGATATTATGTAAGTTATTATATTTTAATTTGTTCATATTTTCATCCTAATACCTTACTTTCTTTTAGACGACACTACGATGCAGTAGCAGCCCTACTATTTACAATGGCAGTTGCAATTCTAATACTAGGTCCATTCTCCCTCGCAATAGTCAATTATTGTGTAACATGCATGTTCACAATTATCATCATACAACAGTTATTCGATAAACGAGAAACCTCGAAAGTAAACGATGCAGAAGAAGTTCAGCAAGACGAAACAAATGACGATCGAGATGAAACTACGAATGAAACAAGTAAAAATCACAAAGAAAATGTATCCAGTAAATCTAATAAGACTGAAGCACCTAGTGAGAATGACGAAACGCAGAACAGTGAAGCACAAACTAGTGCATCGAATGACGATTGTGAATGCAACGAAAACAGAATATACAGCATGTTCAAAAGGCTTACAGAAAAATTTAAGTTTGAAACTGATGCGATTTCATAATTGAAGAGATTCATTTTCATAGTTCCTGTTCTGCTCAGATGTGGATGTGTTAAGGTGATGAAAGCTTAGCATAACATAATTGTAGCAAAGGCCTTAAAGAGAATTAAGTAATTGTAATAGGTGAATTGCAAATAGAAGTATAAGGACTAACCAAAACCTAAAAGCCGAATAGAGGTAAAGAGATTAAGCAGTCCTTGCTCAGTGGATTTTTAATAGTTAATTAATTTTATTTTTACATAGCTATTATGGTAACTATGTAAAACACGTAAATCTGTATATGTCTTGTTTGTATACTGGTACTGTAATGTTAGTACCAATGGATCTAATCTTTACAATAGGCAGTAGTTGCCTAAATAGCATCTTCTCTTCTCTCATTTATATTATGGTGTAAATAAACACAAGCACTTATTAAAACTTTTAGATAAACTAAATACTGTAACAATATTTCATGACAGTAGTCATACTATTCTCGTAAAAATAGGATTATAATTCCCATGTATAACATATGGATGTTATAAATGGGAATTATAATCCTTTAGAATTACTGTGAACATTACAATATGATACACTTAGCCCAAAGTGCTATGGAGCACTCTTACACTTCCGGAAAGATCTTTCATTTCCGGGATCTTTGGCAAAATATGCCAAACAAATAAACAACTGTGAAAAGTGGTCAAATGGATCAGAGTAACGTCTCAAGCCATATTTCAATAAGAATGCAAGATGTATTGACATTTGCAACTGCACTACCCTATCCTGTTGTTCATTATGATACCATATTTTTTTTTAGTTAATGTAAACACTCATGAAGAAAATTATATTTGATCATTGTAGTGCTTTGAACAAAGGATAGTTGTATTTTATAAATCAAATGGTACAATAATGTAAAGTCTTGATATAAATGTCATCATTTAGGAATTTCTAATTCTTTCTTATATCCTGAAGGAGAAAAATTCTGTTATCTAGAAATATGTTCAGTAGGATACCTTAAGTAGCCTATGTATGATAAGGGTGTTGCATATTTATACCTGCTATAATAAAAATGAGTCATTTTGAAATTTGAATGATTAGCACAAGAGCTTTTATTACTGGGATGTTTAGCATATCTTGTAATTGTTCCATAGTGTACTCACTCAATCCTTAGATCCTGATTGACGTACTTAAGCAAGCTTAGTACATCATAATCATACTCAATTAGTGAGTAGCTGCTTGTGTTTTCTTTTTCTCAATGTTTAAATGAAATAGAAAACATGCGGTCATGCTGCTGCTGCTTTTTGTTAAGCTTCATAACCTTACTTTCTCAAACTCGTATCTTAAAGCACAAAGTTACTGAAATGCAAAAAATGGATTGTATATACAAAATTTGCAGGTTGATTTCACATCACATTTCCTTCATATTCACATACTGGCTTTTACCTTTTCTTATCTTCTTGATAAGAAATTTAAAATAAATAGAAAGTTTTGCCAACTCCTGAATAATCACTCTTTATAAGATACGAGTTTGAGAATGTAGCATTGAAATGTATTCAGTCCTAAGAATTTTACAGTACCTACCTGAACAACTAAGATAATTAGCATTGCACAAAAGAAGTGCACTGTTTTTTAAATATTTATGTAAAAATCTTGTACTAGTTAGTTGCCAATTACAAATAGCCTAGATTCTACTGATGAGCAACATAACCATATCAACACTGTAGAATATTTTGTAAGCACATTGAACAATATTTGACATAGCAATTTCAATTAATAAAAGAATATAAACCTTAAATGCTATTTATTTGAGAAATGCGTAGTACACATAAATACGTTGAATAAATGGAATTTTAAGTTAGTTATTTTTTTCCTTTCTTGCTCGACGTTGATTTTTCTTCGGTATTTCTCGGATTCTGCCAGTTCAGTGGGTTGCGGCGGTACATTGGCCACGGTGGAACCGTCAGAATTGCTGCCAGCAGGAAGCCGGCGCCCAAGATGTATACAGATTGTGAAAATTGTTGAACTATATAACCCCAAATAAATCCAACAATGCTGAACAATGTAATGATTGCTCTGTACAATTTCTCAGCTTTAGCTTGCCCGACATAGTCTATGTGTGTTGGAATTGACTTGAAGAATTCCATTTTCTTTGAAATAATTTACTCAAATTCACTATGAACTACACGCAACCAAAAACAAAAACGTCAACAATATTGCAGATTATTAACACGTCAGCTGTGATCATTTTTTTTTTTAATTTATTAAGGCTTTGGCAAAGCCATCAGCCTAAACATGAAGTTTAATTATGTTTCTGTAAATTATGGCCGCCACAAAGAGGATAGGCAATTTGAGGCAGCGTGCTTGGATTGACTGGGGATTCCTTAAAACGGGCCGATACGGGTATTTTAGTTCGAGATTCGTATAATTTCGCGTTTTAATCTTCGATTAAGGCACAATAGCACTATCCTATTCCACTTTAAACTACACACATCAAAAGTGTCTAGGGATCAAGTACGTTTAAGAGTATTGCTGCAATTAGGGTTAATTATATTAACTTTTTTTGTATCGCTATAGATACTTTTTAGTGAGTTTTAACATTTAAATAAGGAATATTGTTTAAAATTCGATAATAAGAAGAAAATCGATTGTTAATGTGGTTTTATATAAAACTGAGTTATAGCGTTTTGACAAAATCATTACAATATCTGCATCGGAACCGAAACAATTTACGTTATTATGGAGAGACGACATCATTTAACCCGAGAAGTGATGATGCGAGCCGTCGGAATGTTGGAAGCTGGTTCCAGGTAACGTGCTGTGGCTTTCACTCTTAACACTACACAGAGCGTCATAAGTCGCCTCTGGACGCGCTATCACATGACGGGCAGCGTGGCCGAGCGACATGGAGGACGATCTCGCATCACGACTCGCAGACAGGACCGGTATATCCAAAATACTGCTCGACGGAATCGTACCATGACCGCCATGATGTTGGTTACGAGGCTCCACAGCTCCTCAGGCTTGCTAATAAGCGATCAAACAATCCGAAATCGTTTACGTGAAGTGGGTTTGCGATCCCGTAGGCCTCTCCGAGTTCCACCTATTGCACCCTGCAATCGCAGGACCCGTTTACGATGGGCTCGCGAACACAGAAACTGGGAGGAAGAAGACTGGCGCTATGTGTGCTTTTCGGATGAATCCCGCTTCGGTATGAGACCGGATACAAGACGTACTCGAGTTTGGAGAACATCTGGACGTCATGAACGTTGGAAGTTCATCCATATGGTGGGGGAACAATAATGATATGGGCCGGTATTTGGATCGGCGGAAGAACCGATCTCATTTGGATCAGGGGTAACCTCAATGCTCAAGTTTACGCAGAGAGGATTGTTTCAGATGTTATTATCCCTTTGCGAGGCCAGTTGGGTGATTCATTTCAACTAATGCATGACAACGCACGTCCACACACGGCTAGAGTCGTAACACGCATTCTTGCCGAAGCTCGTATCAACGTTCTGCCGTGGCCTGCTCAATCGCCAGACCTCAATCCAATTGAGCACGCATGGGATATGCTTCAAAGAAGAGCTGTGCCGAGTATGCATACCGTACATACTCTACAACAATATTTTGACTTGTTACAAAACACATGGGCGGCCATTCCTCAAAGTGATTTTGATGAACTCATCTTAAGCATGCCAAATCGCTGTAATTGTGTGATTCGTGTTAATGGTGGAAATAAAGATTATTAATTTTCTTATCTTTACAATAAAAATGAGCAAAATCATCATTTTCGCCATTTTTTTGTCATTTAATTGACGCCGTTAATTTGAGTTTTTTCCCACAATTCGCAAAAACATCAATTTTAGTTTATTTTAATTAAATATAGGGGTAAGCGGTTAAATAAACATAAGCATTAAAGTAAGAAGTCGTCCTGGAAGACTGGATTTGGTAAATATTGCTTAAATAATTTTTATTTCAAAAATATTCACTTGATTCCATACAAATAAACTTGATCCCTAGACACTTTTGATGTGTGTAGATTTCACAAAATAATTGAAAGTCAAAATAAAAACGACACTTTTCCCTCCAAAAGGTCCAGAGCGAATCACAAACCATGATACTATTCGCCATAGACTAATTTAAGTGTGAAAAATGCTCTCGAGTTAAATCTATGGTTGTGAATAATGAATCGTGTATTTTTTAAATATTGGTTTTTACGGCTCTGGGTACTTGGCTCTTGTGAGCCACTAAATCTTGTATATGTGATGTAACGTAACAAGTACAGTGTTGTCAATGCCCTCGAGTCGAAAATTACAAATATACAATTTTACTTTTTTTTAACCGAAAAGCTAAGGCGAATATATCTAAATCCCAAAAAAATAAAAACAATTCTACACCAATACAGGGAAAAAAGCACGACAAGCTTGACTCTTAAGATTTAAATACATCTATTGATGCTTTTAATAACACGTTCCAAAGACGTTAGTTGCACATAGATATCGTTAGTCTTTGGACTAACTGTGTCAAGCTTGCTATAAGCGAATATTGTATGCCTATGTTTAAGCGAATCAAAATTACAACAATACTATAACATTAAACTTTTATTACCAGAATGCAAGTTCCTCTCAAATTATTATGGAATTTTATCAAATCTAAATTCCCTACAAATTAAATTCCCCAAACCATGACCTATGGAATCGGGATTACAGCGGGACTTAATTTATGGAAACAAGCCTTGGTTACCCCAATTTATAAGTCTGGCTCGAAACATGATGTTAGGAATTACAGACCTATATCAAAGCTTTGTGTATTCGGTAAGATTTTAGATAAAATTGTAACTCTTTATTTATCAGCTGTTTTTTCGCGTCATATCTTCCCACAGCAACATGGCTTTTTTCGTGGTCGTAGTGTTGAGACAAATTTACTTTTTTTAAGGACTTTCATTGTTTGTGAGAAGTATCTTAGAATTCGAAAGTGTAGTTTGGAACCCTTATTATAAAGTACATGTTGATGCTTTAGAAAAAGTGCAGAAAAAGTTTATCAAGAACCTTTGTTATCGGACTGGTGTAGAGTACGTTAATTATTATCCTTTCTTACACAATAGGAGAAACTTTAATGATTCGTTTTTCTTGTACAAATTATTAAATAATTACATCGATTCGCCGGATCTTTTACGAAAAATTGGCCTTAAAGTTCCCACTCGCATCACCTTGCGCTCTAAAGCTACTTTCTGGTGTAAACTTTGTAGGACAAACTCCCACAGAAATGGTTTCTTTAGACGCTCATGGGGTTTTTATAGTGAAAATTGAAGTCATGTAGACATATTTGGGATTTCTCCACAAGGTTATAGGGTAAGGGTAAGAGAAGCTTTATTTTAACAACAATTGAAGTGATAAAATTATTTAGTATAAAATATTTTAGTTTATTTTATTCCTATTATTGTTTTTTTAGTATACTTGTACATGTAAATAAGTATCATTAATTATTAAAGTTTTTAATTTTTCTTATTTTTTATAATATTCTTCTTCTTTTTTGCTTGTGATGTTGTTACGCTCATTATCTTATTTTAGTTTTTTTAATGGTAACTCTAGGTCTGTATGTGTATCAATTTTGATTTATTACCTGTTTGCTGACGACTGGTTGTTTCCTTAAATAAATAAATAAATGTTATTAATAATTCGTAAATGCTAGATTTCGACCTTGGAAAGGTGTTACGTCTAGGGTGCATTTGGAAAATATTACAGGAGAGCGATTTAAAATATTTTTTTAAGACAAAACATCACAACTCAAATTTTATGTATTAAATGGAAATCTAGAAAGTTTCAACTTTTCTAAATAACAAGTACATACTATATAAATACCTACAAGCGTCGAAATGTAATGCGTCTTGTAACACTGAAAAAGTGTGACCATAAAGACTCCCCTTTTTATAAATGCAATTTGCAATGTTTAGATAACACGCTAATTAATATCAACAAAAACTTGCTTTGGGGCTATTATTAAAATACTTTTAACTGAGGCTCCATCTACTCACAAAATAAAATGTTTACCTAATGTATTGACTAGAAGTATCTTTACTGTAGCCTAGAGAGGACATGTTAATTTTCATTATGCTGGGTAGGTAGGTAAAAAGTAACAGAAAATATTGCAACACCTTCTTGCGCTTTCCGTCAGTCGATTGTCAACATTCAGTACGATCAGACTCATTAGGTTAATTTTAGTTAAAACAAAGGTATTTAGTTTTATTTTCTAAAAGTACAATATACAAAATTATACACACAAAATGACTACTTTCAAGCAAGTTCCTCTCACGTGTGGTGGCCATACTAGACCAGTCGTGCATTTGGATTTTAGTGACGTTACAAAAGAAGGATATTATTTGATTTCTGCTTGCAAAGGTGAGTTTAACGACTAATTTATGTTGGGGTGCCCTTTTGCCTTGGCCTAGATGCAGGTCGAAGTCTTGCAAGTGTATGATGTACATATTTGTTTTGGTTTCGTGTGACAGATGTCGTCGTATGAGATAGGAGACCTTCACTTTTCTTATTCGCGGAGACCGGTCGTCAGGCGTACATTCTATGCATGTGGTGACCTTCTGTTTCCGGACATGCAGGAAGCACCTTGAGTGTCCGCGATGTGTTTCCTTAAAGCGGCTCGCCTTGGTCGCTTTGTCGTGCTTTTGTCCGCCACTATAACACAGCTTACAAGCTTTGCTCGTATGCATATCAATTTAAACTATGGTACTTCCCTATATCATGATGACATTTCTCTTTCTGGATTGCCTTGTGCCTGCTCAAGGTTTGGCAAAGTACTTGACATTAATATTTACAAGAGTTTAAAAACTTGCCAACTAGAACCACTTTCATTATTTAGCCTTATAAGGAAAAATCATGTAATAATGCTGAACTGTAGCCTTATTATATTGACTGTTTGTTTGTGCTATTGATAAGTATCTAATTATAGCCCTGTGTTGATTGCATCAAGTTCCTGCTGTCTACTATAAGTGTATAACACATTAATCACACCTTCATAGAAATTCCTCCCTATTGCAATTATTTTAAACACTGATGGATTTCTAACGACCGTAATTGCATTTTCTATATCGATAGGTTATGTTTTGTTATTTAGATAGTTTACCAAACTTGTAAAGATTTTAGGGTGAGTAGCTAGGTTGTATTAACAAACTTTTCAGCTACTCTTATAAACTATTAAAGTTTCTCAGCTATGCTGAAGTTTTTCTCTAGATCACTCTACTTATACACTCGCGAGCAACCAAACCGACTCAGACCCTACACCTGCATATAAACTAGTTTTTATCAAAAACTACCCAGTCAATTAATAAAAATGTCTTATTTTCTGATAGCCTGAAACTTTAGCTTTAAGATGGTCTCATTAGCATAAAAATCGATTGCGTGGTTTTGAAATAATGGTAATAGAGTTAACAATTAGGGAAAATAGGAATTTAGAAAAATAATTTATGGAGATTGTTATTCAAATTAAAACAAAAAAAAGTAAAATAATAATAATAAATTTATTTAATTAATAATAGGGGTTAAAGTATGAAATTGCCGATTTGTACTGAAAA